CGCGTGATATGATTCCAACTATCCATAGAAGGTTGGAATAAAATATTAAGAATCCATCTCCGATTTTGAAACGGAATATCGCGTGATATGTGACAGAAATATATGCGAAAGATATGTGACAGAAATAAATGCGAAAGAAGATTTTCTGTACAGATTTTTATTTTATTTCGCTAAAACCAACGCGCCTTCAAAAATAATTTAAACAATAATTAATTAATCGTTAATTATTTGACAACAATATGTTTTGCACTTAGAACAATAAAAATATTTTAATCTCGCATTTAGGTTAAAAGTAGTGTGAAATAGATACTTTTTTAAATTTTTAATCATTCCGAGAGATATAATATGATTTATTTTATAATGCATAATTTTGAAAAGCATTTTGATATATTAGTTCCGTCCGTTTTTTTTGCAAAAAGTATGGTTTTATTTAAAAAACAAAATGAAAAAGTATCTCAATCAAAATATTGTCCATCGTTAGCGATGACTTTTTCCCATCTTTCAGGCAGTAAGCGAATTCCGCGGCGAAAGAATGGCTCATCTTTGGAGGCTATCCACTCAGAGACCCATTTTTCGACATCTTCATAAGAATTGAAGTGTTCCTCTGCAAGTGCGTGTGCCATCGATCGAAACAAGTGATAGTCGGAAGGGGCACAGTCTGGTGAATAAGCCGCATGGGGTAGCACTTCCCAGCAAAGTGCTTCTAACATTTCCTTGACAAGTTTTGTGACGTGAGGCCGAGCGTTGTCATGAAGCAAAATCACTTTATGCTGTCTCGTTTCATATTCTGGTCGTTTTTCGTGCAATGCTCGGCTCAAACGGATAATTTGTTCTCGGTAAAGATCCCCTGTGACTGTTTGATCAGATTCCGTGCGAGCGTCCTAAGCCTTTAGACTACCGAGACGAATGCACGAAATGCAAGAGATCCGGATTCGACTCCCAGCCGAGGCATTATTTTTCGCAATAAGTTTATTACAGTTTTTAAGTTGGGAAATTTGGGGGGATTATTAATATTTCAGATTTGATTGCGTTGAAAGTCCGACAACCATATCGGCACGCAATTATAATTTCTGAAATTAATTCATTTAAAATGAATTTAGAATAGTTCAACATCTTAACGTTCAGAATGTAAGATATACTTTTTCCATCTCAAAATGCATTTTAATTTTGATTGACAGTAATGTACACACTGTCAGTAATATGGTCTTTTACCCTAGCGCAAAGCGCGCGCCTGTTACGTCTAGTCTATTAAATATAATGAAAGAAACAGAGAGAGAGAGAGAGAGAGAGAGAGAGAGATTACAACTGATAAAATTTGTCGAATTAGAAATGTTTAAAACGTTTACTTCTGAAAGAACAATGAAAAAAAAGAAAAGAAAAGGTTTCGTCTCTTACGTGAAGCATGCACAACGCCATCGCCATACCGGCAAGCCATCCCGATCTCGCCTCCAGAAACCAGGACAATTCGTCTACGCAACCGTAATGGAAAGCATTCCCTGTGACAGTGTCCCGGCATTCGGTGGGCAACGGTTTACGCATCTGTGTATAATCCCTTGGTCCATCAGCTCCGCAGCATCCGACCTAACGCATTCGTCAAAAATAGGTAATCGTAAAACACGTAATCGTAATAAATAAAGATACTCTTTTCTTCCTCTGAAAGAAGAATTCAACGTTCACTTACAGTTTCTTGGATTACTCGTAGAATGAAACTCGCCGTTTCAAGATGAGAATTACTGATAAGACTGTACATGGACCGTTCGATGATAGGCTGAATCTTACTGTCGTACGTTGAATAATCGAGAATGACTGCCGCTCCAGTTAGACAGCAAATAAAGCTGAACGCTTGCAGACCCACATGCTAAAATTAGTTATGAAAGTTTTTTCATACAAATTTCCATTAAATTTTCTACAATGACGAAGAAATTATTTTTAAATAGTTCCCAAAAAGAATTGTTTATAGCGTTGAAAATAAATATTCGAATTAAAAATTAAATGAGGATCAAGAGAGGATATACTTTCAAGAAAATATCCTAAAAACTCTCAATTTCCTTAATATCTTAATTTGTAGGAAACATTTTTTAGGCATATGTCATTAATCAGCATTTGAATTAAATAATCAAAAATTATTAAGAAGGATTAATTTACGACAAAAATGATTTTATTTTATTTTTTTTTTGAGATATATACTAATTTACATCATTTGCAAAAATCAAATTCTTAAGTATCTTGCAAATTAAGTATTTGCAATTGTATCTACAAAGTATCTTTACAAGTGTTTCTGCAAAGTGTATTTGTAATTTTTTCCAAAATGTTCCAAAACCCTGGTGAAAATTTTTCCTATAATTTTATACGAATTGAAACATTTTTCAGAAATATCCGGAAAATTTACATCTTTTCTCAGAATTTTTCATACATGTGAATTCTGAAATATTCTGAGATTTCTCATCTCTTAATTTTTAAAAAATATTTTTTAATTTTTTAGATTTTATAACATTTCTTCAGAAATTATACTTACAAAAAATCTTAGAAATCTTATGATATTTCAAAATTAACACATGGAAAATTCTAAAAAAAGATGTAAATTTTCTGAGAAGTGATCCAATATTCGTATAAAAAATGTGAGAAAGTTATAAAATTATATAGAAATTCTGAAAAATTATATGAAAAATTCTGAAAAAAATTTTCACCGGGGAATGCTAAGCAAATTAATAAGCGTTCTTACAACGTATAAAGTCACGATGTGTTCCATAAGCGCGGCAGCGCAGCCGATGAAAGCGATGGCCATGACAAGCACCGAGGTAGCGATTAACAAGTAAATTCCGATATAGAACTCGTACATGTTCAAAAACTCCACCCATTCCTCGAACATCGGCTCGAACCGCATCCAGATCGACAGTCCGAACATTGCGCATCCCACGATCTTTTGCCAAGTGACAAGAACTTTGTTAATTGTATGATAAATAAGGATGTAGCAATAATAATTCTTTCAATGAAAAATCTCTCGAACTTCTTTTATTAATCGTGATAGTGTAATAGCGAAATAAAATTATATTTTTTAAAGACTATATTAAATTAATTGTAAAATTTATTAATAAAAAAATTATGCTTAAATAAAGATTGTTCCTCTCCTAAAAAAATAACATTGTGTGAATTAAAGTTTTATAAATCGCTTGGCTATTCAATTTTATAAATTGCTCAATCAATCTTCATGAATTCTATTTTTATTTAAAATTATCAATAAAAAATTTATATGTCGAATTTATTTATAATATGTGAAAATAATAATTTAATATAAAATCGTATAGCATTATTTTTTCAATCTCAAACGCCAATTTTTTAATTTGACTTTAATTTCTTCCTGTAACGAGATTAAATGTAACTTAATTTAAAAAACTTTTTATTATTGAAAAATAAAATTAGATAGTTTTAAGAGTTAACAAAATTATTTAATATATTAGTCTGTATTTTGTACATATATCTGAAAGAATGTAATTTATTACGAAGAGAGACAAATTTTCGTTAAAAGAAAACAATCAATCTTCCTACCGAGTAAGAATAGAAAGGGATTTATGTTTTACAAAACAAATTCTCAATTTGGAAAACTATTACATCTATTATTATTACAAAAGCCTTGCTTCCTTTTTTCACAATTATCTTCTAATACAAACTGCTTTCATTCACTCTTTTTCATTCGAATATTTTTTTCAATTAATACCTAAAATATATTATAGTATTATTTCACTGTCACGGTGTAACTTCACAAGTCGACGCAATTATTGCGATAACTCCACGCACACCCACCCATATTACTGCGTTCAAACAAAAAATCGTGAACTTAATGCAGCCGATCCGCTTCTCGAGAGCCGGTCCGGAACTCTTGGTGACCATTTCCTTACGTCCTGCGGAAGATATCCTCCGTCGCGAATTCACGTAAAAAAGGCGGCTATTTCGAGAACGGTGTGAGGCGACAAGAATGTAATTAGTCAATTGAGAACGTCGACAGGTACCAGAGTATCATCACCTAACGTTCCGGCGGTTTATCACTAGCAAATATAAGATAAGTGGATAAGAGCGTCCTAGATAAAGATATAACGCATGAGGTGAATCATTTCATTCGCGGTATGTGTGATAGACGTAAATTATTAATGATTGAATATTATTAATCAGGAAAGTGTTACCATGATGTCCATTTCATTGTTCAATCTTTTAATTTCTTCTAGACATTTAAATTTCCATCAAAAAATGATGTACGTTGTGGATGTAAATGAAATAAAAATTAAACATCACATATTATTAAATTTATGATAAAGAAATTGAACCTTAAACTCTTTGAAAATCTTTATTATAATCAAATCCTCAAAATTACTGATACACAAAGTGTTGTTAATATATAATACTTCGAAATGTATGCAATAAATAAAATATGAATTAATCCCTCTCCTAGATAATTGCTATTAGTAATAAACATCAAACGCAACGTGGAAATTACGTAGTTTGCCATATCAGATATATATTTATTTACAATATTCCTTACAAAATTAACGATTATATAAAATATAAAACATACTGGATTAATTTATGCGTCGTGAAATAAAAAATTAATAGAAATCTTCCTCCGTGGCTTTCGATACCGGAGTTTTATTTTTTATCTGTTCTTGATTATTATACATATTTGCCACGTCTTGAGCAGAAGTGGCCTGTTCGCAGGTCTTATCCTCGCGGATCCTGATAAATCGCGGAAACCTTAAAGATATTCCCTTTTCTGGATCAACCTAAACAGAACAAAGATAAAATATACATATCCGTTTCTATTAATTAAAAAAATATTTATTAAACAAACTAGAAATTCCAAAAAAAAATTAATTGCAGGAATATATTTTTTATTATCTCTATTTTATAATTAACCGATAGAAAAAATACAGTATATTCCGTGTGTGTACCGTATGTAACGCAAACTGTTCACGAATAAAAGATTTCCGGAAACGAAGTAAATTATTACGTCGTACAATATGAATTTGTTTTAGCACAATTATGATGAGTTATATTTTTACGAATACTCGTCTTTCGAAAACTAGGGAACTCACTATTCCGATAGCTGCTCTGTGTACTGGCGAGAGGGAGAGATCGGCACACTTGATCTCCCAAACTTGAACTGGCTCAAACCAGTGATCCGGCTCATGACTGCTATCGAAGCGATAGTACGATTTGGCCTGTGGTACTATAAGATCTTTGAAGAATTTGGTGTGATTTTCGAGGTCATCTTCTTTGAATCCCGTACCGATCTATTTACGAAAAAATAATATATGTATATCGATATAAGTAATATCAAGCAAAAGAAAAAGTATATGTTGATAGTAGAAATTTAAATTATAAGAGAGAATCGCCAAATGTTTTATATATACTTTAAAAAACATCTTAATAAAAGTATTATACATAGAAATATCTATATATGGACAAAAATTTCCAATAATTATACATCCTTGTTTACTTTCACAAAGTCAAAGAAATATTTCAGAGATATACCTTACAGACGCTCTGGTACTCTTCATTTTCCTGATCATAACAAGCTAAGAGGAAACCACCATAAGTGCCAGTCCTCTTTCCCTTGCCGATATAACCACCGATTACAACTACGTCGAGCGTATCGCCGACGCCATCCAAGTAGTCCTTTTTCAGCTTCAGCCAGTTTCTCGATCGCTTCGCGATCTCATAGGTCGCCTCCTTTTCCAACGTCTTTACCATCAAACCCTCGCAATTTCCCTTCACAGATTCGTCCAAAAAAACTTCCACCTCTTCCATCGTCGAGGCATCTAAACTATTAGCGAATTTCCATTCACCTTCCACTTCCTTGAAATGCTGTTTCAACAACTCACGACGTTTCAGGAACGGTTCCTTCACCAATGGTTCATCATTTAGATATAACAGATCAAACATAAACACGCATACTTGTACTTTAATATCCTCCTCATTAGCATCCTAAGAACAAAAATGGGACATTACTATTTTGTATGTGAAATTGTCACTATAAACTTAATAATAATTACAGTCATTTAGTGATAATAAAATTATGTGTAATAATTACAATCAAAATAATTAAAATTACAAAGAATAATAACATGTAATTACTACCTTCCGCTTTCTTGTACTGAGTATTTGGAACGGTAAAATTTGTTTCTTGTCGCTATCCCAACCGACCGCCTCGCAATCGAGTATACAATTCTTCACTTCATCACCGCGACTATTCTTGAATCGCTTAATGATATCTGGATACTTGGTAGTATTGTCCTCCTGATTTCTACTGTATATTTTTATTTGACCATCGTCCGCAACGTGTATCTGTCGAATTGTAATTCTTTAAACGACTTGAATCTAAATTATTAAGTACTCAGCGAATTAATTTTCAAGTATCCTATTTTTCTTCTATATATGTGCAATAGAATATTTTCTATTATACTATAAAATTTTCAAAGTTAAATGTGTGAATAAGAACCTGAGCTCTTTCCCCGTCATACTTCCATTCACAAGTAAATTTCAAACCCTCAAATCGCGTTAGGACTTCTTGAACACCTTTGGTAGGATGCGCCAACATAGGTTTCAAGGGTATTCCAGGAGTAAGTTTGCACTTGCTCGGCAAGGTATTAATTCCGTCTTCCAGTAAAACAGGAATTATACGATTATAATTCGGACATTCACTGCAAAAAGATATAAGATTAGCAAAAAAAAAGAGAAACTTAATTGAATATTTAACATATCTTATTTCTAAATTAAAAAATAAAATTTTTAATAAAATATTTATTTTAATAAAATTATGATACAATTAAATTATTTTAAATATAATTATGTATATTTATGTAAATTTCATTTAATTACATATATTTCTTTCTTTTTAATTAAAGAAAACATTTTATTTCGACAAAACATTTGTTTTAATATTTATATAAATGTTAATAATACTTTCAAAATGATCTTACCAATATGTTGTTTTCAATATAAGTGCTATTTGATCATATTTCTCTTTGAAACGATCACTCGACATCTTTTTGCTTGCGTTCAGAATTTCTGGTGGATACTTTTGTTCTGGCGGTGTCATCGCACAAGCTAAAGCTAATGCCTAAGAAAATCCAGATATTTAATAATATTGATCAAAACTGTGTAATATCGGGAACAACTTACTTGTAAAACAGATTGTTCCGCCAATCCGATACGAAGCTTCCCAGCCACCAATCTAACTAGATATCTTGCTTCTGTATTACGGCATGCTACAAACAGCGTCTGAATTTTATCTAACTTTTTCGATAGAGACTGTAGAAAAAAAATTTTATTTTACGTAAATATATAACAGTTTTCAATTTATTTATTCCTATATAAATATTTCAGTTTCTCATCATTTAATCTTTTTCTGAAACCAAATATGTATCACACAATCTTTATATTTCTCATAATTCTTCTTTAATTCTTTAAAAATCAAAATTAATTTAATTCAAAGAGAGAAAGAGAGAGAGTTTTTCAATACAAATTAATTTTTAATTTATAGTATAAACTCTAAGTCTTTATTTTTTATAACTCAAGCGTCATTACTCTGTATTTTTTTTAAATTTTTACATATTCATATTAATCCTGCTGTAAAAAGATCCTGATTATAACAGTTGCATGAATTACCGCGTGTCCTGTCATCTGAGCAATTTCCATCAATCTAGAGTATACGTTGGGAACCGTCAATGGTGCTGGTTGAAACATGGTTCTCTGATTAGATTTACTATTTTCTGCTACAATTCCCAAATCGCCAACCTCCTGGACATCGACTCTAATTTGTGCCAGTGTCCTACCAGTACATTGCGCTATCGCCTTCATCAAATTCGTATCAGCGATTCCAAACTCAACTCCTAAAATTTAAATAGTTATTTTTAGACAAACATTAAGTATTGTTTTCTTTTAAATTTTGAATATCAATGTCGTTATTAACCTTCGTACGCTGGCGCTAATTGATTAAGGCACAGATAAACGCTCGGCAAAAGATCCTCGGGGGTCAGAACTATGACAGATCGGAAGTAATTTGACAGTATCTCTATTATCTTTAATCTTGCACTAGTTTCTTCGATGATCTCCAAGGTGCGCACGAATGCGCTATATGGAGTTCTGAAAGTGAATTTCAAAGGGAGAAGTTTTTAAATATCGCTAAAATCTTACAAAATTTTCACGGTTTCTTATAATAAAATAAAACCTCCTAAAAAACAAAATTATATTTTAACTCACTTGTCCCCTCGTTTCCAGCACGCATTGTCTATCGGATGATAGACGGATGCGCTGGGATTGTAAGACTGGTTGGCGCTTTTTCCATTGTTCACTTTATCATCTTTTGTGTCGCCCTTTTGCTTAAACACTGCAACACAATTTCAAATAGCTGTTCGAAATAAAATATTTAAAGCTTATACTATTTTTTAAATTTATTTAGATCTGTGTTTTAAAATTCAATCCACAACTTTTTCAAAGTATTCTTAAATTGTTGAATACTTACTAAAAAAGTTGGGCACTTTCTTAGCCTTGTTTTCGGGTGTAGGCTCTTTCTTTGGATTTTCATCCTTAGAGGAAGTCTGTGATTTCTCAGGCGTAGACTCTTTCTTTGGACTTTGATTTTTCTCTTCATTGTCCAAAGCGCTTTCATTTGTGTCATTATTGGAAGCATTTTTATTTATGTTGCTCGACTCGTCTACACTTTCAGTCTTCTTCTCCTCGTTGTCAGTCTCTGATTTTTTTGGACTTTCAGGTAACTATAATTATCATTTGTAAATATAAGAAAAATTCATAGAATACTTAGAAATTTGTAGAATTCGACCGAAATCACATTTTGATCTCCAGCCGAAAACGAATATTCAATTTTTATTTAATTTCAGCCGAAAACAAAACTGAAATTTAAACTTAAATAAGTCTTAAGAAAAGCAATTTTAAAAGAATTTGAACTTACAGGTAGATGAGTCTCATCATCACTGGAATCTACCAACTGAACTATCTTAGACCATTTCTTTTTTACAGTCTTTTTTACTTTTCCTGCCTCATTGGACTTTGATTTCTTCATCGAAAATGTAGATTCTTCTTTTTTATTTTTCTCTTCAGCTGTACCGTTTTCTATATGATTATTCTTTACCTTTTCTTCAGCATCATTTATATTTTCAGCCTCTTCCTTTTTCTTTTTACCAGGCGTATCTTTCAGTTGCCTTTTTTCTGCCTTTTTTGATGCTCCAGGAGAAAGCTTACTGGGCTTAATTTTTGGAGTAGCTCCTTAAAAATAATTACAGAGAGATATATGTATCATAGATGAAATATCTGTAGTTTGACAGGATAGTTACCTAATTTGGTACGAGGCTTAACGCTTGGCGAAGGTGTCTTGGAAACTGTCTTTGACTTTGTACGTTTAATGTTCTTTGAAGGTGGACTACAAAACCGATTTACAAGAAAACAATTAAATGCAAAGAGAGACTTTTAATGATTTGAAATATTAATACTTGAACATATAAATTATGAGGTTTAAGCACCTGGAACTGTTGCTGCTATCTCTTTTCCGTTTGCCATTCTCCGTTGCATTCTGATTCTGCTTGTCTGACAAGTTGTGGCTGTTGGTTGTATGTATCCAATTAAAAACGACAACAAATCGATTGTGAGCTGCGACTGCGAGCTCCAACCGTCGAATCGGCAGAGCCAGCGAGCTCAAGCGCGAGCATGTAGCGAGGATTTTTAGCATAATCGATTACCATAGAGAAAGAGAGACTATTGATAATAAAACATACCTCTCTGAATTATCCTGGCCTGAATTCTCCTTCTTGGATGATGTCTTAGTGAAGAAGGAGCTACAAAGATAAAGCAAATGACATAAACACTTACCTATGTACAAATTATTATTACGCTAATTAATTGAATTGCGTATTTATAATTATAGATTAAGTTATGTCAAATTGTTAAATAATTATTATATCTACTCACTCTATACGACGCTGCGCCATTATTATTACTATGCTTCTACGCCGTACAGGTTTGACAGGTTTCCCGCGTTTATTTCATGTCGTGATGGTGACATAACCTCACTTTCATAGATCAAATACTATACGTAGATAGAAAAGTCTGACTTTGCATCTATGCCAGCGCACTAGCGCCAATTGAGGAAATGGATATCAACTACATATCAATATCCACTGTCGATGTTTCCGCTATTTGATTCGAGTGATACCCATTTTGAAAATTATATTGCATTTCTGCATAAAATATAATAATTTACATCTATGTGTATACAATGTAAACTTACTGTTTTTACTTATGATTTTATTTTACAAAATTAGGATTTTAAAAAAGGAATAAATTAACTGCTGCCATAATTCTAGCAAGTTTTATAAATAATTATTAAACAACTTCGATCCAGTTCTTGCATGAATGTAAGATTTCATCTCGGTTTAACTTGCTGTTTACCTTTTTCTAATTCTTAGAAAAATTCTTACTTCCTAGAATTAAAAAAAGGAATAAATTGAACCTAGATTGAAGTTAATCTTATATTTGTGAAACCGGGCTTTACAGAGATGCGACATAGAAGAATCATATTTTTAAATCAGAGATTGATTTTTAAAGGTTTTGGTTGTATTGAAACATTAAACTATGTTCTTTGTAAATACTTATATTTATTTAACAAATAACAAATATAAATCAAATTATATCAAAGGTTTCACAACTAGCTTTAATCTCACCGATGTTCGAAAAGCGTGTCGCAGTTCCTGTTCTGCCATATTAGCGACTTGACCTACTCTATTATTCTCGCCGCGTATTAATAGACGAGCGATGCGCTTGTTGGGACATTTAATGGATACCAGCGCATTGACACTGTCGTCGGGTGCTGGATCAAAGTGTTCTAACTTCACCAGTAAACTATAAGGAACCTCGTTTGGTAGAATGTCTAGCAGCTTTGCTCTTACTGTCTGCCATATTATATCCTGGCATGTATTATCAGTGTAAACATGTCCTTCATACTCCCAGGCTCGTGGTTTAGCTGAGTCTAATAAGTAAGTCTGCAAAACATAAAAAAATGATGAATGTAAATGTTACAATATTTCAAATATGGAAATTATAATTCCATATTTCTAAGAATTATATATTGTAAAGAATTAGACACAAGTGATAATAAATTATAATTTATTATCACTTGTGTCTAATTCTTTACAGTAATCACAAATTTACCCTCAAGTCATTAACACCGTCCCTAGTCAAAGCAGATATCATAAATACGTCATAGAAATCTGGAGACTTCTTGCTTTTAGTCAAAGTGTATACAAAATCTAACAATATCTCCTTCTTCTTTATTATGTCCACTTTGTTAATGACCAGAATTATAGGAATCTTCTTTCTTATATCTTCTGTCAAAAGTTTTAATATATTTAAATCGATCTTATGTCTAGTATATATATTTCCTGCATCCTGCACAATTCCTATAATATCTGCCATATTCAAAGAGGCTTTTTGATCTTTTTGAAAGCTGTTGGCTAATTTGAACTTTTTACATTCAGTAAGGGAAACCATACCAGGCGTGTCCATAAATATAAGCTGAGTATCACCTTCGCAATAAATTGCACGTGCTTTGGTTTGTGTGGTGTGTACTTTGCAGGATACAGGACATATCTATTTAACAAAATAATATAAAAAGATATATATCCCTTTTAATTACTGATTTAAATAATATACCTTAATTATTTATTTTATATGAAAATATATATGTAAATGAAGATTATTACCGATCGTTTAATAAGTTGATTAACAAGTGTGCTTTTTCCGACATTTGGTGCGCCTAGAAAAGCGATCTTTAAAGACTTTTCATCTTCACGACGTATCAATGTACGATTTTCGTTGGATTGTAAAGCAAATTCTTGCGGATCATTTACCGAAATGCCGTCACTGTTTGAGAAACATCGCCGTAAATAACGCGCACTCGCGCGAATCGCGTACCTCTCGAGCGTAAATAACATTTCGTGTTTAAGACATCAAAGCAATTTTGAGGAATTTTATATGCACGTCGAGTAGATTTCCGAAATTATGCTTCTTTTCACTTTTCTATTTTTTTTTTATTGTTTCATGAACATTACTTTGCAATGTGTATAGGTTATATTTGCATGAGCAATTTCTTCTTTTAGATAGTTAATTTTCAAGTCACAAGATCGTAGTGATTTATTTAACTAAGATTTTATTAATTTTCTAGTATATACTATGATTAATTAATAAATTCGTGAAAATTATACATTCGGCATCACCATCAGCGTGACACATAAAGGTGCCTTTTCATGCTGACGCTCGACGCTCATTTTTAAGATCAAAACAGTCACGTGATCAAAATTAACGCTTGATATTCGTCAATTTCTATCACGTGATTTATATTGATGCCGAAAATGAGCGTCGAGCATCAGCATGAAAAGGTACCTAAGGCCGGAATCAGACTAGGCATTAAAGATTGAGATTGAAGATTGAAAGATTGAAATTTGACCAATCAAAACAATAGGAGCTAAAATTCCTTTGCCCTCATTGGGCTCATTCAGCGGACTCAACAGTTGAGTGAGCGCTCGCTGTTATTGGTGTATTCTTTTAGATCATCCAATCATAATTTTAGATCTAGAAGAATACGTCAATAGCAGCGAACGCTCACTCAACTGTTGAGTCCGCTGAATGCAGCCATTGGTCAAATTTCAATCTTCAATCTTCGATCTCAATCTTCAATGCGTAGTCTGATTCCGGCCTAAAAACGCTCGACTGTGATTGGCTGATTTGTTTACGGCCTAAAGCCGTAATCACACTACAGGCTCCCGACTCTGACTCGACTGCCAACTCTGACTGCTGGCCTATAATGGACCAATAATAATGAGACTGATTTATCGTTATTGTAGTATAATTACAATTTTACGATTACAACTAAAATTTTTGTTCGTTTGATGGCCTTAAAAGAAAAACGTCTGTAAAGAAAAAAGTCCTTTTCAAACTGACGGCTGATCGGACTCATCTTTAGCATCAATAAATGGCGTTAAAACAGATCACGTGATAAAAATTAACGCTTGATACTTTATTTGTCAATTTTACATGTGACTTGTTAAACGTCGAACATAACAAGACAACTTAAGATTGCTTATTTTTCTTTTATAATATAAATATCAAAATATAAAAGTACGGAAAAATACTAAAAATCAGTTTTTATTGTACAAGAAATGCTTTTATTATTTCATATAATTTATAAGTAAAATATTAAATTTATCTGATGATCTATATTATTTTGTTATTTAGAGTAATCTGATTTTAAGATAAATTTTTAGATATTCTAATTTAATAAAACTAATGTTTTTTAAAATTAACTTTTTATGTAACTTGAATTAATTCAATTTTAACATAACTTTAACTGAGTTAAGTTTTTGTTTATTCAACTTTTAACTTAACTATTTTAATTTTATAAACCATTAACTTTTACTTAATTTAGTTTAAAAAAAACTAATCCTATGTATCGTTGATAAGAACCGATTATAAATTGTCAGTCTTTGGGAAAAATATATATATATAAAATAGCTATTTCCAGAGTATCAATCATGAAACTTTTACTCTGATAAAAAGTGAAAAATGAAAAGTTTCTCCATTAACTTCAATGGTAAAAATTTTTACTTTTCACTTTCTATCCTAGAGATAAAGTTACATGATTGATACCCAGATAAGATTAGAGCAAAACGTCGTTTTGATTGGTCACACCAATTGTCACCGTCTCGAATCGGCGGCGATTAGCGCGTCACGCGCCAACTTCACGTCGTATATCGCGCGTCGTCACTAGCGGAGCAATGGCGAACGACGACGACTCGCGCGAAGATATCTGTGATTGTTTGTTATCAACGCGCGTCTATCTGTGTCTATCGCGCGCGTAGCCTGTGATTTTCATCAGTCTTTTTGCTTCTTCTCGCTTGAGACAGCGCGAGGCGAAAGATTGCGCCTCGAAAAGACTGCATTTGTTTGTAGAAGAGAAGGGTGAGGAAAAAAAGAGTGATAGTCGGGGAGCGAGGATAATGCGCGACTTCGACAGGACGAGAGCATAAAAGTGCGGACATAACGTGAGAGTGTTGGATCCTGGTATTTCGTGTCAATTGCATCACGCCGATATTGAATGACAGAGAACGATGCTCGATCCATGAAGATCGACACATTGGTGAACAAACGGAGGACAAGTGAGTGTCGCAGATGCCTCTTTCAGCTGGCTCCTCGAGAAGACTACAAGATGCTACAACGTTCTTCCGCTAACTCTTTACTCTGTTAGTTTGCATTTATGAATTGCCTTGTCCAAGACCTGTCTTAAACGCAGGAGGTAAGCCTGTTGCACACAGGACGCATCAACGCATAATAAATGCTCGTAAGAAAAAGCAGCTTTACGCGTGGCAAGAAACGACGCAATAGCTAATCAGACTCAGATCTAGAAAGAGTATGACGCGTCCTGGGTGCAACAGGCCGTACGGCTGAAAAGGAACCGGACCGAGCGATACCAGTCAGGGTTTGTTCTCTGCGCCTTTTTCCCTGTACTTTCTGCACTTTTCTGACACAGTTCGCTGTAGGATTCCCTTTACTCCGGATCCCTCGCCCTACTGGAACAGCTGGCTCCCTTTAAACTAATATTTTTTTCTCACACTGTACTATTATGTTATATATTTACCGCGTGGCTGTATACATAAAGTGAAAAAAAAACGAGCGAAAGAGCACTCCATGACATTTTATTTTTTCTATATGCTGTTAGAATGAAAGTGGATATTCAGGAGGTTACAGAAGCGGTTTACTGTAATTTTTTCTTTCATTTTCGATAAATTAAATAAGCGTTTCCATCAGTTTTCTTAGCTGTGCTTTTGCATGCTTGTTTATTTTATCTTGAAAAATGAAAAAAATACAATTTTTTAAAATTCGATTTTATTTTCTATTTTTATAATGATTTTTACATAAATATTTGTAATATTCATAATATATTTGGTTCATTTTTTAACACAAAATATGAGCGTTTAAGATGTCTATTTCTTAGAGTCGTTAACTCTATTTTTTTCTATTATGTAGCTGTATTTATATTTTCAACATTTACCATGAGATGCCAATCATTTATTTAACTCATAAGTACATGATGTTTTTTTCAGAACATCATAAAGCATGACAATGCACAGCTTTAAGATACAAGATGAACTTGACCAGTGTCATTGACGACAATAAGTTTATAGCAGACAATGAATAATATACATCAAAAGCTGATAAAACACATCTATCCGAAATACATGATCAATGTAACCTGGGATCGACCCCGTCAAGTTGAAAGAAATGTTCAAGGGGCATCGTGTATAATTCTTACGTCGGCGAGAAATTATTGTGGAGTAAGTAGTGATACTGTTTCTAAAGTTTATTCACATAGGTTGCGTATGAGAAAAGGGTTTATTGATTATTCTAATGGAAAACATTGATCAAGAATTTGCTGACCATTTCGCATAAAAAGAAATAAAGGAAAGTCTCAAAATTTATTTTTATTTGATAGAAAGTTTTCTGATGGTTGATAGAGAATTTATAACCTCTGTGAAGTTGACACCTCATTTTTCAAAAAATTAAATTTTGGGCAGGAACTCCAGAACTCTTCGGGGTGCATTCAGAACTGTATCCAAAATTTCATTTTTTGAGAAATGTGGTGCCATCTTCACAGAGCTGAATTTATAGATTTTTATGATGTCCTTTAAAATATCTTTTAAGTTATTAATTGTTAATATAAAAAGAGAAAAAGGCAGATGAATGGATTATAATTGAAAAGTAGAGATGCACATATTTTTAATTGTCTCGGTAGTCTAAAGGCTTAGGACGCTCGCACGGAATGCAAGAGATCCGGGTTCGACTCCCGGCCGAGGCATTATTTTTCGCAATAAGTTTATTACAGTTTTTAAGTTGGGAAATTTGAGGAGATTATTAATATTTCAGATTTGATTGCGTTGAAAGTCCGACAACCATATCGGCACGCAATTATCATTTCTGAAATTAATTCATTTAAAAATGACTTTAGAATAGTTCAACATCTTAACGTTTAGACCGTTATTGGCGCTTCTTAGTTTAAAGTAATGTATTTAACTTAAGCGGTCTTCCAATCTTATTGTTTTTAATTGTATTTCTGCCGTGTTTCTTTGTGCATCAGTCTATTCCTTTCATAAAGATACACAACAAGGTCATCGAGTATTTGCTGAGACATTCAGGCTATGAGTAGCCAAAAAACTAAAACGCTATCTTCACTAGCTAACGATGGATCTCTGAGTCCGCTGCAATAACTCCCTGATGCACTTCTGGCTCAACAAACCGCCGGGCAGGTTCGGCGGCCGATATCCTGCCACACCTATGCCCAAATCACACAGTAAGTGTATCAAAATATAACGATATGAATCCAGTAATTAGTAAAATACGGACAAAAGGTAGAGGATATGAAAATTATATATTACAGTTCTGCTTGTGTCTTGTGCATATATTAAATTGATCAATATTTTTTATATACCCAAAATTTATAGAATATCTTTATCATTATTATATATTTTTTTTATTGCAAAGTAAATAAAAAAACAGGGGGTGCACCTTGATATCATTATTATATGAAACACTCAGAATAAAATTTAGAAATTATTTCTTCAAATAATTCTGTAAAATTAATTGAAAACATTATGAGGAAAAATTTCAATGTCTATTCTTTTTATTTTCCTTATCTTTATTCTATTTTCTATTGCTTTATTTATCAATTATTTTTGCAGGCCAATGTCGGCGCAGCGGCCAACATAGGCAAATGATGAGTCCTGTGCATCAATTCCAGGGCCTCGCAGGTAATCTCGCAGCCGGAAACGCATCTCCAGCCGGACCTAGTAATGTCAATAACTCCTACCGAAGCTTCGCTCGTTCAACGACGTCTGCGCGAATCCATAACAATGAGAATCATCATCACGGTTCGTCATCGCTCAGCGCCGTCCAACTCGCTCAGCTGAACAACATCCCCAAGTAATTAATGAAAACACAAAAAGGTCTACACTAAGACAAAGGAGACATTCTGAGAGGAACATGCTCTTCCTATATACAGGGTGACTCACTTATACATATCTATCAGCAGAAAGATTACTTATAAATGATTCGCCCTCGGTTTGCAGCTTTGTGAGTTTAGTACGAAGATACGTAGCACTATGGCGGTATTAAATCGTTTTTGGTTTAACGCATTGTTTGCAGCAATGTCACCGACGCTAGCAACAATCAACTAATTCTGTCTAATACGACCGGCATGAATAGTACAGAACGGAATAGAAGCCTACTAACAGGAAGCGTCTTTGAATTACGGCAGGCTGAGTTGGCCGGCTTCCGACTGCGCTGTGGGATTTGGTCTACCTTTGCTCTAGCAACAGTCTTTGTAGCGGCGGCTAAATTCTACTTCGGTTATCGGGTAAGCGTATCTATACTTAAAAAGAATTCTTATTTCAAGATTTTATCTCAAAATTCTGATCGCTGTAGAAACTGCCACTATTTTGCGACCCTTTATTTCTCTGTTGTCTTCTTGCTTTACTTTCTAATCGATTCTTATCTTCGTACTAACAGGGGCCTGGCCTGGAGATACTCGTGTTTTGCGGGCTACTGATATTTCTGTTGTCCGCTTGTTTATACTCGATCTTCTGCAAGTACAATCATGAAAGGAATTACAATTACAATAGTCGGTCAGAGCATAATGCTCGTATACAGGAGGATCATATCGTTGCCCTAACAAACGCGTCCAGCATCGGCGACAGCATTGTCAGTAGAACGACGGCAACAGTGCCGACGACGACGGTGAGGCAGAACCTTCCTCCACCACCTTATCACATCGCTATCCTGATACCGCCGCCATCACAGCCGCCACTTGCACCTTTAGACGAGGCGCCGCCACCCTCTTACGACAAGATCATGCGATGAAATCGCCGACGCGGCGTAAAATCGAACTAAAACGCTTGTCTAAGAATTCTTCCTTCGACATTTTTATGTCCGCTACGTAAAGCAGCACAAATCAATTCTCTAGGTTTAAGCAACATTGACGTCTGTGATAAGAGCGCAATGATGATGACACATCGACAACACATCGGGGGTTTGATTCGGGGAAAGAAAAGATTCACGCGGCGATATTTTTTAGTGGGCATTACTGAGAGAGCCGCGCTCCGCCAATGAATTTCCGTTTGGTCGGATAAAATGTATTATATTCTAATCTTTTTATACTTTACTATATGAAACTGTGTGATATATTTAACTTAGGTTTAGCTGCAACGCAGCGCGTTGCTGGATACTTGGTCGATCCATTCATTTATTCTTCCAGTTAGGACTTTCGCGAGGGGACCGCTCACATTCGAACGCGGTTCTTCGAGGTGTATAATTCCAAGAATTCACTCGATTATGTTCGATTACTTAATTGTCTTCACGATCTTATAGAACGTGTATACAAAGAAATATACAAAGATAACACACACACACACACACACACACGGATGTGTGTACATATATATACACACAGATACATATGAAAGAAAATAAACTTACGAATTTGAGCCTAGGTGTCAAATTTGCAAAACATGTGCATAATCGTCACTCAAGATAAAGTGGTAATAGTAGCCGCGCGCGTTTGGCGTACAATTTCTGTTATCAAATAGGTGTAACATTTTGTCCACCAAACACGCTCGTTACCAAATATCGTATATACGATATACATTGCGTGCTTCACGTGACATAGAAGAAGCACGCGCATATGACGTTTTACGATAGTTTATGAATAATACGGAAATGTTAAGCTACGAGTTTTCGTGCGAAATATAACACGATTTTGTATTTCTTTTTCCATGAATGCAAAGTAAGAGCGAGAGAAAGAGAGAGAAAGAAAGAATGTATGCACAAATGTAAATGACCGTTTATGTCATAACTCTGTATATTTAAGAACAGCTACATATATAATACATGATGTGAGATCCTGTTTGAATGTTCTTCGTAACTATAAGTCGCAAGTGTATTGTAATGTACAAAACTCATCGTCATTTCTAACTGCACTTACAATCTCGTTTTTATTTCAAAGATACAAAAGCAAAACTCTGTTTCTGTATGACGATAAATTATCGATTTATTCAAAAAGTATTGCGAAAAGCGGAACGGAAAATAAAGTGGAATTACAGAATATGAATTTTGCTTTTATACTTTTTCAAGTTTCTTTTCTGCCTGAGTGTATGCATTTATTTTATTTTGAATTATAGAAAGTCTAAGACAGTGCAATCGAAGAAGAGCACAGGGACCTATTTTTCCTACATCATTTCATAATTTAAGAAAATCGCGGTCGATGCGCATGTCGTTTCGTTCGTAAAAAGCATGTTCATTGAGTCCGTTCTTATTTACACTTTTAAAAAATTAATTTCGTAAGACGGAAAAAAGAAAAGCCACGTGATTTGTAGCAAGTGCAATAAAAACGGACCCAGAAGTTCTTATCGTACAGAGTATCGATCATGTAACTTTTTATAGAACGGAAACATGAAAAGTGAAAATTTTTATTTACATATGTACACGGTATGGCAATAAAATTCGATGAATATTCTTATATTCAATTGGGCAAACCAACTGTACACACATTTTCGCGTTACTGCATCATTTCCATAAACTTGTTGTAACATTAAGTGTGTTTCCGATACAGTTTTGCTCAATTTAAAAACAGAACTTGATATTAGCTCTTTGTTCCATTTTCATTAACGAACGTGTGCTCCTTCGTTACTAGCCTACGCTTGAACATAGCCGCGCGTCCGTTAAGGGCAGGTCGCGTGCAACATGCAGAAATGTGTTTCTAGATTCGCTAATCTATAACAAGTACGATGTCGCAACTTTCTGCGTGCGTTTACAAATTGAATATAAGAATATTCACCGAATTTTATTGCCACACCGTGTATATATATATATATACACATACGTATAAACAATTTTCACGTTTTCGCTCTAAAAAAAAGTTACATGATCGATACTCTGATCCAGTACTTTTCGCGAAAGTGTGAAACAGTTGCTACAAGTATAAATAAGCATTCAAGTATTAATTCAGTTTACAGCTATATGCGAAGTACACAACAGTTAGGTGCAAAAGTGGACAAAATCTTTTCGAAAAGCGCAGCTATATATCGCGAAAGATGAATTCTTTGAGTCTGATAATCATTCTACGATATCGCCGGTCTTAATGAAACAATTATCGAATATTTTTTAAAAAAAATTATACGACATACCCAATTGTAATAAGAAGATAGAAACATTAATAATACCAATCGCAAAACTGTAAAATATAAATTATGATTGATGACAGTAAAATTGCATATAAATATAAAAACGCGAAAAAATGTATGAGTAAAGTTTAAAATATAATTTTTTATTTATAGTCGGCTCTTCATATATATAATCGTCTATTAAATTAATTTAATTAGACTTTTCCTTAAGATCGACGATACATACATATATATATATATATCTTTTCCATTTACTGACAGTATATATATATTACTATGATACAAAATAAGATTACGGTCTTCGGGATACAATAATAATAATAATAATAATAATAATAATAAATCACTGATACCGATTGCAAACGACGTTTACGATCTTGTATACAGTACATGTATGTTACATCAAGATGAAAGTACTTTGGAGGCTCTCGCCATGTAAAAAGTAATTAGAAACCGAAACAAAGCGTGTGATTTGATGCGTTTGTCGTGCTGTGTCTCATTATATTCCCATAAACATTGGTCAAAATTAACCGACGTTTAATTGATTCTTACCTCTTTCTTGCTTATTAAAATTTGATTTGACTTGAAAGAATGGCGACAACTGTCAATTTCACTAAATCTTTATAAGCTAAAAAGACGAGGAATCAGTTAAATTTCAGTTAACTGAAGGATTCTAATGATTTAACACATTTTTATAAGATTTCGGAGAAACTCGAAGGTCTCCTTATAATTATGCATGTTGATTTTAATTGATATATTTTATTAATATATTTTGACATTTATTTTAAAACAGAAGAAACTATTAAAGAGTTTTTATGAAAGCGTCACATTGAATCCTTCAATTTTAATTAATATTCAGGAATAATATTACACACACAATAACGAGTTCGATGACTCATCTTCTTGCGCACTGCCAATAAAACAGTATTTCAAGCGAACGATAACGAACCTTTTGACAATTATTATCTAAACCCTCTGGATCTCGAACAGCTTAACGTCTGTATCGTACCATATGGGTGGTTCGACGTTTCTCAAATATATAACACCCCACATATACGTACGAAACCATGCGGTTGTGCCGGCGTTAGCCTGATACCGCCTGATGAGAATAGGATGCGGCACTGGCAATAACCCAACAAGAGTACCGTGTTGCAGAAACTTCAAGATTTCGCTCTCGTCTGTCAGCCCCCTATTAAGATCAATAAAAGAAAACATAAATATGGAAATGATAATAAGTGTTTTATTATTTATACGAGAATTCTCTAACATGATTCTAAGCGTCGGTGGATAACATTCTGAGATGGAAGACCTATGCTTGTTATTTATAAATAAGAACGCTTGCTCACTTGTCGATGCAGATTTTCTCGACCTGTGGAACGAGGACCTGAAGCAGTCGCATAATGGTCTGCAGAGGAAGCTTGCTCTTCCACTGATACACCCACTCGCTGGACGGCACCCACTGATTAACGTTATTGATATTATTGGTACTCGTTTGCTCAGCCACACGAATGCCACCCTTCTGAACAGCGAACGAATTACGATTATCATTATTGATTGGATTTATTAATCAATGTTCATATATCGGTCTTTGTTACTATTGGACGTTAATAGTTTTTTATTTCAGTTAAAAATAAACAATTTCATATCTCTGTTCCTTACCGGCACCACGGAATTCTTGGTCGCATTCATTGATTCTTCTGCGATATCCGTCTTGCTCTCTGATCGATTATTAATTAATTTATTAATGTCAATGCTGACCGCCGGACTCAGTGGATGCGCAGATTCTTTTTCCGTCATGTTCTCAATACCTGTTAGTTTGACAAATTTATATTATTTTTAAATTTGAATTTCTATCCAATAATATTGTTATTCTCAAATTTAGATCCATGAACTTAATTGTTAGTCTATATATAGAAGGAGACTCACCGGGAGTCTCCAACAAGGATGCCTTCAAAGTGCCAGGTTCAGACGTTAGATGTACTCGCAGGCATGTGACGACGCTGCCTCTTACTAAGGGACTTCGCGATCGTGTTGCAATCACTGGGCAGATTCGCGAGAGCGTGGAATACTTGCCGTTTGCGTATTATAGTATAGACTAAGTTGCTGTTTCCATCAAATTGATACTGAAAATCGAAAGTAAACGGTAGGTCTAAATTTATATTATTTATTTATAATATGATATAATAGTATAAAAATTGACCCATATTCCTAAACTATATATATAGCAACATTAATAACTGAACTAAACATTCAAGATAATTTCTATTCCAAAACATTCAAAAATATTTTTCTTCCATCAGTTTCAATAAAACAATCTATTGGAAAATATAAAGGAGTAAATTATAAAATTAATAAAGAAAAGATTAGTTCCTTTTCAAAATTTGCGAACGATAACGCTACATAAATTACACTTTTTTTTACACTTTTAAATATCTTGTATAATTGAGAAAAATAGATTGTATATTTTGTGTGATTGTATAGATGCACATTTAATTGTGCATCTTGCGAGCGAATTACCTGGATAATATTGTTAAAGATCTCGAGTAAAAAGAACACCAAATGGTGATTAGTGGGTGCTGAGAAAAGGAACCATGGCGTACTAAATGCCTCCAACAAATGTAGCAGTTTCGTGCTGGCCACCATAGACAGTGTTTTAAGGTACGGCGACACATTGACTAGAATCGTTAGTAGACAGTCGAATAGCGGTTGCAGTCTCTGATGACCGGTCGTGATGATTTTATGAAATACAGTGACTAAGAGATCAGCATGCGTTCCTGAAATGGAATTATTATCATTCTTAATACAATTTAATAATTAATAATTTTAATAATTGATTTTACAATCTAAAATACAAATCTACAATATATCAAATACTATTACTTTTTTAAATTAATATATTTAAAATAGTGTTCTGACTCTTAAAAACGGCAAATATAATATAATTATCACACCTGTAAAAACGGGAATATCCATAGGCACTGTAGCCGTATAGGGTTTATTCAACCTCACTCCGAAATTGCGTTCTCCGCTCAAGAGAAGTAAAATAAATACACCGATGTGCATTAAACCAACTCGTGCTACAAATATGGAAAAGCTAAATATACACATATAATCTACTTAATTAAAAATATAATTCATTTAATATATTACTCCTCCAATCAAATTCTGAGATATTTTAAATTACGTATTTCTCCTGAAGAAATCATCAATTACCATATGTGTAATTGAATGTTGAATTAAAGCAGTATGATATAAATGAGTAAAAAAAAAGAAATAAAAACTTACATTGGTCAGCACGCGAATCGTTTAAGTGATAAAGAATCGGCACGAGAACCTCAAGGACGTCGGAGCTCTTTAGCACGTAATACAAGAACTTCTTATTGTAATCACACATCTTCCAGAAGAAGACTAGCAGCTCTTGATGAAAATGCACTTTTTTGGTCGAGTTTGGCAGATATGTTTGCATTAATGGATTATTTAACAGTCTAGTGATACCCTTTAGAACAAATTGGAAATCTGTGGAAACAAAAACATACATTTCAGTCTATTTCTATATAATACTTATATTTCCTCATTTTTCTATGTATTTATTTTTTATCTATAAATTGACATTTAATTAACCAAAAATTTATTACATATTAAACTTCAGAATCTAAGAAAAAAATTTTTGATCTTACTCCTTATTTAATTTTAAATATATATTGCTTTAACAAAACTTTAAATCAAAGTCTAATTATACAAAAATATATAAAATTAAATATTAAAAACGTTACCTTCATCGCGATGGATTCGACTCAAATAATTGATGAACAAATTGTCTCCGACTGCTCCCTCTTCCAACGGTATTCCACCAGTAGTGTCATGATCTAAAGTTACGATCAAGATTTGCAACGCGACATCGACCAGCGGCTCTAAGGAATCCGTGAACAGTAAATGATTGTATGGCACTCCATATCCGACGGGATCATATGCGCATACTGTGTTTAAAAGTGATGTAAACATAGGTAAAGCGTGTCTGTGAACAATCGTATGTAATTAGTACGTAATTACAAATTACATAAAAAATATAATGATAGGACATATAAATGTCCTATGTAATTGTCGGATTATTTTAGTGTTCTATTTAAACATATTATACATATAAGATATATACTGTTCCATGATTGAAAAACTTGTATACAAATAATATAAATATAAAAAGTACTAAAATATACATTACATATGGTTATACTGAAATAATTAATTACCTGTTTTCACTGCTAGTCAAATGTTCAATCCATTTGTTCGGCGTGATTGATAGATCCATCGGCGGATTGTACATGGTTTCGCTGAAGCATGTCAACAAGAGCTTCAACAATTCCGTACGGTTGGAATCTAGAATGGGGTACCTAGGTGGCGAATATGCGAAGCCTACTCCCGCTTCCCATATATATTCACAACTGTCTATCGACTGCAACTCATCGGCTTTATCCTGAAAAGACATTACGAGGCATAACACGTTCCGCACTTCTTATCGAAACTCCAATATCTAATGGAGACTCACCGGACCGGATTTCCTGTTTGCAGCTACAGTAAAGTCAGGGCAAAATAATAGATCCTAAAATAGAAATTTCAGACATTACCTTATAAACTATAGATATACATTGTTATAACATATATTCTCATATTGTATATAAAATATTAAACATCGCTAATTAATTATCAAATAATATAATTTTACTAATAATAATAATTAAAATACATACATTTTAGATTTCTCTAAAATTACAGACATTTAATTATAAACATTTAATATGTCATTATCTACTTTAAATATATCTCTTACACAAAGTGCATTCAATAAAGAATGTGCCAATGGTAAGCTCTCCTCGTCATCTTTGCCAGGTAAACTGGACCAAAAGAAGCCTTTCCAATCGGGATCCTCGAATATGTAGGGTAACAAGCGTGTCAGCAAGCGGCAGCAATTCAAAACAATCTGATGCTCCCGTTGAGTCCTGCAGCTGCTATCAACTGCCTTGACTAACTTCTCGACCGCCTTGTAGCATAATGTGGCTAAATTGGAAGGTGCCTCTTCTCTCAACACACGAATCTCCGGGGCCGGAATCAGGGTAAAGATATCCTGAACGTTGGTCACATTCTCAGACCAGAATTGATCCCAGAATATATCGTCCGATGCATCGATCACCTGTCAGTACAATTATAAAAATAAAACTTATGTGCAACATGATATGATAACTTGAACATTCTGATAGATTCATTAATCTTCATCGTTCAATACATAATATATATTTCAGGCTCTTCTAATTTAACCTGATTATGATGAATCCAAATTTTTAATATGGTAAAATTAGAGATTCTATATAATAAAGTATAATGAACAATGAGCAAGAGTAAGAAAGGATACATATCCTGTCTTTTTTTATATGCCATCTCATTCTAACTTATATTATCTTATTCTAACTTACTAAAATTGATAAAAACGATAAGTCAATCAAAAGTTTGTTCCTCTTGTGATCAATTTGTTATAAAGTTTCTAGGTAAATTAAAAGTATTGACATGTGCAGAGAGTAAAAATCTAATCTTTATTATATATATATATATACATAATTTTTACAACAATTTATTATAGCAGTAATTGTTATAACAATTGGACAAATCTTAAAACAGCTTACATTATCATGTTTCAATAATCTCTTTATCAACAATATAAAGTTTTATGGCAACATATGTTAATTCTTTTTTTACTTAACACATTGACATTATGTATATATAAAATAAAAAATGCAGATATTCTGGATTCATCACAGAGACTCAGTGATTGCCAAGATTTCGTCGAGAGAGAAAGAAATCATACTTCTATCGATCTACCACCGATCATATGTTATTCGTCAAGTAAATAAGCGGATGTCTGTACCTGAATTTTCGACGTTAATTGCACCACAGCCTTCCGAAAGTTCAGTTTTGTATCAGCATTGCCCATTGCGTTCTTCGTCGTCACCAGTAACAATTAAAGATTCGTCGCAGCTAAAAGGGAGTGAAAACGCGTCGCTGCTCTTTAAACGAACACCATCATCGCCATGTTTGTGACAACGAGCAGGATGACAGCTAATCAGAGCTGCCAACCATGTTACTTTTCGCGCGAAAAAGATGAATGGAAAAACAGGGTACTCGATCCCCATTATCGGGAACGTTGGAAGTACTTGGAAATCCTGAGAGGAAAGGAATAAATTTTACATCTTTTTGAATTATCTGCAGAGGCTTAACTTTATTAAACTAAACACAATCTATTTTGATATAAAGAAACTGAAACATTTATCTTACATAATATATATATATATACATACATATATATAATTTATTTTGTTTTCGAATAACGTTTGTTTTAAAAAAATATATATATAGACAATCTTTATAAAAGTTAATCATTTCTTTATAATTTCTGTTTCGCTTTCGAATAAAATGTTTGTGCAACTCTCTTCATTTAGGAATTACGTTTATCCTGTTCTTGTTGACAAATTACTGTTTCCCTGTGCTTTTTGTTCCACTCTTCCATCTTATTAATAGAGATCCATATATCATTTGCGAGTAACTCCGGCTCTTCAAATGCCGCAAAATGACCTCCTTGAGGCATTTTGGTAACTCGTAAAAGATTCACGAATCGTGTTCTCAGTTCGTTTGGACTTTGAGTCATGATTTCGTGAGGGAACTGTACACAAGCACTAGGAACCTTTATCGGTGTTCTATAAAAAAAGACGTTTAATATTTAACATTTAAGCGTTGCAATAATAACAACTGCAATAACAATTACGTACGATTCCAAGATCCTCACCAAGGATCTATTCGACTCGGTATAGTATTCAGCGTATATTCTCATGGCTGTAGTAATGCTATTCGACACCCAATAGATCATCAGATTATCGATTAACTCGTCATATGTATATTTGTCTAGAAATCCACCGTCTTCTCTATATTTGTAAGACGGATTTGTGCCGGTTGAAAATTTTTCAATGATATACGCCGCCAAACCAGCAGGCGAGTCGTTTAGACCAACTCCTAAAACATACGACGCTTTGAAAGATACTGGATTTTTATTCGTTAAATATGTGCAAAATCTTCTTACACATTCACTTAATAGAATATAAATGTACTCCAAAACTCTTTTTTTTTATAGCTGTATAATATAAATACATTGCATACCAACAGTATCTGGCTTCGTAGCTTGAATATGATAATATCCAGTCTCTCCCAGTGACAAACCAGTTCTTTTTTTAGTTTTTCCCCAAGGCAAAAACGATTCTTTAAAAGAAGTCAATGCTTTTTTCAGTAGGATCCATTTATTGAGCACTATGCACAAATTGGAATGCAAACCCAAGACGCTGCAATTTGCATAACACATACATCACTATTAATCAAGTTTAGTAACATCGTTAGTAGTTATTATATAACTACTGATGTAAATTGTTATATAACGCTAGTCCAATCCAATTTTATAATGCTAGTTATCATAAAACCAGGTTTAACATACACAACGCACTTTATCAAAATAAATGTCTTCAAAATTTCTGGAAACTTCAGACAATAGGACGTACTCTAAACGTTCTTAAGACATCCTTTGAACGTTTTTAGAACGTCCATGAAGGTCTATGTTATATAAAAAAATTAGCGTTTATATATTTTACAGCAGTAATCGACAACTATGTTATTAAACCTGATTATAACATGCAAACATAATCATTATTAAATACATCTTTAATGTTAGACATCATATCAGATTTAATTGATAATTTTAAGCAATAAACTTACTGTTGCGGATATAAACATGACATAGTGTGAATGACGGAGGAACCCCAATCGCCACCTTGAACATAATACTTATCGTGTCCGAGTCTCAACATGAGATTCTTGAGAACCACACTCATTTGAATGCTCGAAAGTTCAGGTATCGTAGCTGTGCTGGAGAAACCAAATCCAGGTAGCGAAGGCGCTATCACTTCAAATACAAAATCGTGCTCGGGTTTTGGTGAGGTCAGTAATGGAATAATTTTATAAAACTCCATTATGGAGCCGGGCCATCCATGCACAATTAGCAATGGCAAAACACGTTTTCCTTCTGTATTATTTGGTTTTGCATGGATAAAGTGAATGTCTAATCCTGTGTTAAATACAAAATATGTACATGTTAATCTGTAACTCAATGTACATATAACATTGAAAAATAATATAAGAATATATGTAATTAACTTCGATACTGAAATCATCTTATCGATTTCTGTAAATATGTAAAATTGAATTCTCAGATCGGAAATAGTTCGAATACTTATTTACTAGATTCCGTTTTGATTTTATTTGACTTAAATCGATATATGAAATTGTGTATAAAATGTACAATAGTATTGAAATAAAATAAAACACATAAAATTACAACAGAATGTATAATTATATCTTAAAATCTTATTATAAGTAAAATTATAGAATTTATATTAATATAAATAGAATTATATAAATCCTGTTAAAAATAAAATCTTTATATAATAGTAAGGATTCTGCAATCCTTCATAATAGCCTGCAAAGCTTAAAATATTTAATGAGTATCAATCATGTAACTTTTCTTTAGAGCAAAAACGTGAAAATTTTTATGTCTAATGTGTGTACATATAATATACATATACATACAAAACATTTTCACTTTTTACATTTTCATTCTAGGAAAAAAATTACACGATTGATCCTCTGACGTCAGATTACAAAAATATTCAGTATCCAAAAGAATACTTGCTATATGTATATACTTTTCTATTGTTGATCATATTCTCGTACCTTGAATATTCGTTTTAAAATGCGAATACTGATTTATGTACTTCTCGCGTTCGTCAAAACTATATTCGTTCGTCCAGTAGTCTAAAAGTTTGCGCAGGGCGTCGGTATTAGTGCCATAATTCCAGGCAACGTCTTTCAACGGTGGTGTCAAAGGTCTGGTATGCTTTAATCGGTACTTCAAATCGTTTACCATCTACAAACAATAATAATTGTTTATTATCTGTAACAATTAATTGTCTCTAATTGAACTGTTACTTTAATTTATAAAATAACTTTGCCATCCTACGAATACCTCTTCGGAAAAAGAAACTTTGTATGGTCTGACATCATTGTTGACAGAGTTCTCAGTGCCGGGCGTCCACCAGGTTTCCGGCAATTTCGGTAACTTCGTCCTACGGGACGAGAAGTATCTTCTCGTTAGAACGAACAGCATCGCCGAACAACCGAAAATAATTACGCCAAGCGGTAGATGATCCATTTAACTGGGTAAATGAAAATAAATCGTTCAGATAACACGCATTCGCTATTCGACGAGTGTAACTGATTACAGCATGACACTACACTATCGTATCGCAATCGCAGGAATGTGCTGAATAAACAACGCAGTGATGTGTTCATGTTAAAGCGGGCGCCACATCTCGAAATTATGCGAACATTAACAGTTTAAGGCATTCGAGGTGAATAATCGAGACATCTTTCAAAGAGTCTGTTGCAAGTGTTTTTGGATTCAGATTCAGAATACCAGTGGAAATATGACAGAGAATGTTCCCCCCCCTTCCATTTCATGCATGATATGTGCATGCTATATCATTTTATCCTTGTTATTCACTAAATACCCTTGCTGTACCATCTATAATTTGGTGCCTCATCCATACCAACCAGGGTCACTAGAATCTCTTCGTTTTTTCACCTCTTCAAAATAATTAAAAAAATCTCTAAAAATTCATCAACATACTTTCAACTTTCTAGAATAAATATTAACTCTTCATTTTGGAAAATAATAAAATGTAGTATAATTTATAATTACCGAAAGATTCGTAAGTTGGAAAAAAATGGCCTTTGATTTAAAAAATTATAACTTTTCATAATAAATATAAAAAAATCACTCCAGGATTTTGTAGTTTAGATATGAAGTTATGAAAAAAAAATACTAGAACTTCGAATTCTACAAAAAGTTGAATTATTTGAACACATGAATATGAGTAATTTTCAGTAAGGGACATATAGAAAAAAATCGAGTTAAAATACGCATTTTTTTATTTTGTTGTGTAATATAATGTCTTTTTTAATGAAAAGAAATATAAAATAAAAATACATATTCAAATAAATATGTATAAAAGAAAAGTTTTACGTTTTGCAATCATAGTCGTCATCATAATCAAGTCCATCCTCTTCGCTTTCGATTTCGCTTTCCGATAATATAAAGTCCTCATCGCTGTCTGTCTCTTCTCCAAAAATATCAATTTCGCTGTCTCGTAAAATAATGTCGCTCGCCTCTTCAACTTTATCCATTTTGTAAAAAGTAAATAATTCTTTTAGAAAAATATTTTTTTAATGAAAACAAACATTCAGACATTAATTTAGAATGAAAATAGAACACTTATAATGATTTTGACACAATTTTTATTTTCACAAAAAAGCTAACATCGTATACTCACCAGGGTCACTAGTGTCTCTCACGTCGATTTGAATCGCGCGCCAATCACAGGTAGATTGACGGCCGGGGTCGCGCCGCCGCGCACAGGTCCCCCCCCCATCCCAAACTTTTTTTACGCGGCAATAACAAGCGCCGGATTGACCGAGCTTGCGAGAAACTTGCACGAACAGGAATCGCTCAGTCACTAGTTACCCATATTAGTACGGTAAGGGTTAAAGGATAATAAAAAATGGTACATCATGCGCATCATGAATAAAACAGAATGCACTTAGGATTATCTATCAAAGTCCCCGGAATTTAGCTGCAATCTTATTTTGAAGCGCCTTATGTCCACAAAACGTGGACATTGAACTACGTAGCCATTGGCTACGTTTACACCGTACGTTTAGTCCGCGGCCTACATCCCAAATTCGACCTTATTTAGGTCACATTATTTAGGCCGTACACTGTAAACACTAGCTACATTTACACCGTGCATTTAGGCCGCGGCCTATACAACAGATGTCCTTGTTTATCTTGTAGGTTAAACGAAGACACTTATCGTATAAGTCGCGGAATAAGCGCACGGTGTAAACGTAGCCACTCTGATACCTGACCCGACCTG